ATGAATAAAATGAGAGATGACACAAATATAACAAACAAAAAGCATTTATTGTTATTTTATTCAATAACAATACAATTCAAAATCAGAGACTTCAAATATTCTACATAATTACATTTAAAGTACATTTGATAAAAAAGCAGTGACATGTTTTCAATGCAAAAAGTGTTTTGAATTATAACCTTTTTTGGTTCTCTTTACTGGTGTCAAATACACGCAAGTGGTTTATGGGCTTCAGGACAATAATGCTTGTGCGATGTGCTCTGAAAATGGGCAAATCTGCTCAAAGTCCAAAATAGCTTGAAGACGATTAGGTGACCCACATTTGGTTTAGTCATTAGATATAGACTTTGCTTACAGAAAATATAGTCTGGTTGTGCATGTGAAAGTGGGACAAAGATTGAACTCGAGTCTTCTAAAGACCTGAACGTGTCCTGTAAATCTCAGAGAAAATCAGTGCAATTGGTGAAACCAAGTGAGGGTTTATCTCAAACAAACCAGAATCCAAAGCCTCTTAACTGGACAAAACTCTAGTAAAAGCTTCAAGTCTCAGAGTTTATGACCTTTAGGAAATGAAATACCCAATGAACACCCTACTCTGTGTTTCCATGAGATAAGTAGTGTCATTACAGGTGTGACAACATTACATGGTACAGGGGAAATGCTAAAAAAAAATTCAATTATAGCACATCAAAAAACAAAGACAAAGCAAAAATAATGCACAGGCAGCAAAAGATGGTGTTAGTGTAAGTCTGGTGAAATTATATTTATATAAGAGTTAAAAAATAATGAGTGATTTAAAGATCTTAAGCATGCAGCAGTGATCCTCACAACTGTTCATGCACTGAAAACTATTTGAACTTTATTAAAACTATTTGCACTGATTTATTGTGTTGGTTACATTTTGTTTCTTTGTGCAGTGGCTCAGGACATCAGTCTTTTGAGTCTAAAAACCTCAACAAACTGAAAAAGAAAGAATATGTAGTCTTGTTAAAATTGATTTTATAAAATTGGTATTGAAAAAAGTATCGTTCAGGAACTGGTATTGAAGTCAAGGTATCGGTATCGAAATTTTTTGAACGATACCCAGCCCTATTTATTAAACAATCAGTCCTGCTTCAAATTACATTTTTTTTTAAGTGTGTCATGTGCCATGTTTGCAAAGCATCACGCATGAGCAGTGTTGGGGAGTAACTAGTTACATGTAACGGTGTTACGTAATTTAATTACAAAATAAATGTAACTGTAATCCGTTACAGTTACTAAGAAAAAATGTGTAATTAAATTACTTATGAAAATGTTAACGATTACAAAGGGGATTGCATTTGAATATTTACACACATCCACATACAGATTTAATTGATTTCTTTCTCAAATTGCACTGATTACTCTGAGACATAATTTCTGCGATGCGGTAAACACAAACTGGTTCGTAGAACCCAGTCATAAAAACAGAATTCCTATAGCCTAACGTGGACGGAATATGCCACATTTTGGACGCATAAATCAAAAGTAGGTCAGTACACTTGAATTAAAACGCGATATGGACTAGTGTCTGTGAATATTAAGCCGCGAAAAGAATATATGAATCCTGCACGTTCTGCGTGTCTGTGGAAATCAGGCGCGGACTGGCCATCGGGAGAACCGGGACAATTCCCGGTCGCCTGGCAGCCGATTTGGCCCG